GTTAACGGTTAAATTTACTTTGATCTCGTTCGGTTGTTAACGAACTGCTGTTCCTGATTTTGCATAAAGATGCAATTGCTTACTGTATAAAGGCAAGGACACTAACATTGTGAGCTATGCTGGATGATTATTCGGCGGCTATGAAAACTTTAATGATTGAAGGCAGAGATGCAGACAGGATACAGCATCGTTGTATGAAACACATGAGGGGGGTCGTACTTGGTCGTTGCTGAGAGAGGGTGGAGCTGTATTTGCTTTGAGAGAAGTTTGCAGTGTTGGGAAAAAATTTTGTTGACCTTTCGTGATTTTTACTATATACCCCCCCTGGTCGGCGGAAAATTTCTGAAAAGCTGGAAAATGTGGGGAAAAATTGGTAGGTAGGTGCTGTGGTGTTAGGAAGGGGGGGGGGTCGTACTCACACGACGAGTTGTACGAGTTCCCGTTGGCATCGTGCCAATAACCGCTGGCTGCTTGTACAGATGTACTCATAAACCCACGCAGCACCATAGCAACTTCAAATCAATCCCTTCGCTTCACTGAAGTTCGCAAATGAGGCGATACGAGGCATCAGCATCGCCGGACATTTGTGGAGCGGACGCGCGCGGTGGGCATCAAGGTCAGTAAGTAGCTGGTTGTTAAAGCGCTATAAGGGTATTTTCCTCAGAATAGGATAAGGGCGCCGAAATCCGTCCTGCAGTCGTATTGATCCAGTACGTCTTGGGGATTGTTGTGTCACTTGCCTCTAATGATAATCTTCCTTGCTCTGCCACTGCTAGGGACTTTTGATATTGTGTAGCCGTTCTCCTGGGCCATGCGAACCGGCCGTTCTACCGAATCGGTCTTATATTCGCTTTCTGATGAGACTCTTGAAGCGTGTGTAAGATGGCTTTCTTAGTGCCTAAAGGGAGGGCAGAAGTGTAATGAACTAGAATGCTTTGAACTAGTATGGGTAGCTCGGTACTGGTATAGGTAATCCGAAGTGGTCAAAATCAACACTGCGGTTGAGTTTTTACCAAACTGCAAGCACCCCCCTCCACTCTTTAATCTCAAGAACAAAAATCCCGTTGAAGGATTTTTCGCGTAAGATGTGCTTTGTTACTCCTGAAAGGGTCACCACCTGCACCCGTTGAACAGCTGAATTTGTTGCATACGATTTTTTGGCGAAGGAATTCATCTTACGACGAAAGAGTTGATATAGAACGTGGTTTCTTTGCTTTTACTATAGGACTGGAGTGTAGCATCGCTGAAAGAATCCTATCGGGGCGGTCGTACGTAGTCGTGGGTAGGGGATCGCATTTGCTTGGTGGGGGTCGTATGTGGGTGGCTTTTATGGAAAATTCTTGCGAACCACCGAGGGGGGCCACCATCACGATGGGTGGAGGCTGTACTACAA